AGGGCCTGGGCTTCTACATGTGTCGACTGTCAGCGGGCCAAAATACATCGCCATACTAAGGCCCCTTTAGAACCTTTCCACGTCCCAGAAAGACGATTTGACCATGTTAATGTGGACATAGTCGGTCCTTTGCCCCCCTCTCATGGCTACACTCACCTCCTAACCATGGTTGATAGAACCACTCGCTGGCCTGAAGTTGCCCCCCTGGCATCGATTACTTCTGCGGAAGTGGCAAGGGCATTTATTGCCATCTGGGTGGCCCGCTTTGGCACCCCTTCAGACATATCTTCAGACAGGGGCACGCAGTTTACGTCTGAGCTGTGGAATGCTGTGGCAGAAAGTTTGGGGGTGCAACTACACCGTACTACTGCTTATCACCCCCAGGCAAATGGACTCTGTGAGCGTTTTCACAGGGTGATGAAAGCTGCTCTTCGGGCCAGCCTCAAGGACAGCAACTGGTTAGACAAACTGCCATGGGTCATGCTGGGCATCAGGACTGCACCTAAGGAGGACCTCCAAGCCTCATCGGCTGAGCTAGTTTACGGCCAGCCACTGCGGGTGCCCGGTGATTTTTTCCCCAACACTTCTAGTCCTTGGTCAGCAACAGTTCAACGTACTACATTACTGGACAATGCAAAGCTTTTTACACCAGTCCCAACTTCCCGTCATGGCCTTCCTCACTCTCACATTCCCTCTGGCCTTCAGTCAGCAGGCTATGTTTTCATTCGGCAGAATGCTCATAGGGGACCTCTACACCCACCCTATGAGGGCCCATTTCGAGTTGTTGAGGCAGGGAGTAAACATTTTGTGGTGGACATAGCTGGTAAACGGGAGCGGGTTTCAGTCGACCGCCTTAAACCAGCTCACTTGGATGTGTCCACACCCATTCTGTTGGCAAAACCCCTACGGCGCGGACGCCCCCCAGCTGCACCTTCCTCCCTCAGACCACCGCCACAGCCCCCTCAAACACGATATAACAGGGCTCATAGTTCTGCTGCTGCAGACGAGTCAACTGTAGCCCCAGAGCGGCGGAGCCGCAGTGGCCGTTTAATCCACCCGCCTCGCCGTTGACTTTTCTTTTGTTATGGTGAATTCTGGGGGGACGTGTGTGGTGATACAGTTATACATAATTCACCATAGCTTACATAGGTCATCTTATTCTGTTCTTTCAGGAAGCATTTGTCGTCAGTATTTTCCTGACTTAATTGTATGGTCTTTGTAATCACAATGCTTTATGTTGCTCAGTGTTTAGCTGTAGATTTCCTTTACCCTTTAAGGACCTTAGTGTTGTGATAATCTTTTTTGCCTTTTAAGGACCTGTGTGTTTTGATGACGGGTTTTTGACGGAAGTTTCAGAAAGTTTGTTGTTGGCAATAAACGACACACGCATTTCGTGTGCTCAGCTAGAAAGTGCGTCTGCGACTATTTATTGACCCTTTCTACAACACCCCCACCCCACTCCAGTCACATCAGTCTGTATCTACCTATAATATATATAAGATGCAGGCTGTAGCTAGGTAGGTGGCAGGCTGCAGATAGGTAGCTAAGTGACAGGCAGGGGTGGGAACAGCTTACCTTGGTTCTGGCCGACGCGTGTTCCCTCCTGGTAACACTTCCCGCCCGTCACAGCGTCTAACAAAGGGGCGGGGTGCGTGGTGACGTCACCGGCATCCCCGCCCCTTTGTTTACACGGCGGGCGGGGAATGCCAGTGACCGCTGTGTACGGATAGAATCAGCGGAGCGGGGAGCGCTCTCTCTCCCCGCTCCGCTGATTCTGTCAGTGTACAGTGGTCGGCGCAGGCCACAAAATATTGCACTGAGGGCCGCAAATGGCCCGCGGGCCGCGAGTTTGAGACCCCTGAACTAGAAAGTCTACCAAAACATTCTCTTTCAGAATGCTCCCAGATAGAGTCTATGCAGGACTTGTTCCACTGTTGTTACACCATTTAAGAACATCGACTAGGACAAATTATTCTCCTTATGTCAGTTAAATTAAATTTTTGCATAAAAGTTTTGAAATTTGTATTAAATGAACCCATATGCTTTAGAGGCCATCTATCAATACAATAATTCAAAGTAATATTAAAGTCCCCTCCGGATTGGGTAGGCTAAATTGTGTATAGAGTATGAGTGTAAAAGAGTGTGTATGGATGTTTCCCAGAGATGGGTTGCAGCTGGAAGGACATCCGCTGCGTAAAACATGTGCTGGATAAGTTGGCGATTTATTCCGCTGTGGCGACCCCAGATTATTAAAGGCACTAAGCTAAAAAAAAGTGAATGAATGAATAAAGTCCCCTCCAATTAGTAAAAATGCATGTGGATGTTTATGAAACCAAAGCAAAATTCTTTCCTCAAGACACCAGAAAAGCTTATCATTTTTAATGTTAATGTTTTAGCCAAAAATATTAATAAAAAAATAACAAATTGAATTATTACAACATAAAAGTTAACATAAAAAATGCCCAAAAGGATCTGAAAAAAATTCCAAAATAGTTTCAGAAAAATTTGTTTTTAACATAGTGACCCTTGCAGACCTCTCCTAGTCATGAGAAAACCCTAAGTTATTGTTTCACTGTGACCTCCAAAACATCAGATCACTATCCAAGAAGTATGTTACTTTAAAGTACATAAAAACAGTTTTTAACTGTAATCCGAACAAAAATAAAGCTTTACTTTTAAAATTTACATAAAAATTTAAGTTAATGCTGGTGATGTTGGGTGGCTCAGTGGTTAGCACTGTTGCCTCACAGCGAGAAGGTCACTGTCCATGTGGCGACCTGATGTGGCGAAGGAAAATTAAATGAATGAATTGTGGGCGCACAATATATCGTTTCAGCATCGATATCGCATTCTGTGCATCTGCAATCCGCTTGTCAATTCGTGATGTGTCAGGGACATATGGAATACTGTTTCTGGATCCAAGCCGCTACTCATTTCAATTGAGAAAATAGTCGTTTATGGCCACTTTTTAGTCATATCACACTTTAAAGTGAATTTCATATAAATTCATAGTATACACATCTGTCTCTGGATTTTAACAATTTATTAAAAATGTATATCCTCCTGAGACCCGAAGAATTTTTTTTCTGTGATTTCCTACATCCTTTGGGTTAAAAAAAAATCTACAATTTAGAGTTTTTACATTTTGTTTTTATTTTTAATTTTACCGCATGTCCACTGTAGTGGACCACAGGACCATTTTAGTTCAAAACGACCGCCTCTCAGACAATAAAAAACAGTATAGGATATGGCTGTAAAGGGATATTAATCCAGTAATAATGTAACAAAATCAAAACAAAAGCCATTTTTTTTCTTTTGTATTGAAATTCCTGAAACAGTTTAGTCTGAAAGAGAGACTAAAAAAAAAAAAAAAAAAAAAAAAAAAAATTCATTTTGTAATTGTCTCTAATTTTTTAATTGTCTGATTGTCAGACTCTAAATCAGAGTCTCCGTCAATTATTTTATAAAGAATCCTCTCTGCTTCAGTTCTGGCAACAGTTCTCTGCCTGCCTACAACATGCAGTTAGTAAAAAAAACCATCTAAAAAGCTCAATTTTACATACCTATCTCCTTCCCAAAAAATGTGCTTTTTTTTTGTATGTCGGCCATTTTAGATGCAGTGTAAGAAGTGGTTCGTAGCATGCCAGCCAATCAAATGACATATCACTAAAAAGACCAGGATGTCCTTTGAACAGTACAACAAGACTTGACAGAGTAGCTCAAAAAATGTAAAGAATCGCCTTATTTTGGTGAGTGACTTACAACAAATACTGAAGATTCATGTTTCAAAAGAATCATCATGCTATGGTGGCCAGGGTACCATCAGTTTAAATTAGTCTTTTTAATTTTGATAAAACAACAAAAGTAATAACACTTTGCCGAGGTGCGTTTGAAATCCAGGTCGCCGGTGTCAATGCTTTACCACGCTTTAACCAATTGACCACATGGTTTGCCCTAGAATTGCCCTAGATTTGCCAATTTACAAAATGTTTAGGCGCTAGACAGGAATAAGCCTGTCAAAAATATATTTTTATGTATTGTAAATGAGATCAGACTTTAGTCAGGCTCGTGATTAAACAGGCACCAATGTAAGCTGGCACGGTGACGCGTAAAACCTCAATTTTAAAAATTCCTCAGGCTCTTTTTTTGTTTTGTCCATCATGTTAAAAAAATATGCAACCAAAGTTCAACCTTGTGTACCAGGTTATTTTTGGTTTTCCGTTAAGCTCCATCTAACGTTAGGGAGGGATTTTGTACATTCACTCTGCTTATCGCTAGTGAAAAATGTTTGGGTGTGAATTTCCCCAAAAAACACTGATGATAAGTGTGATTGAAAATCACACCAGTTTGCAGAAACCTTAAGAGCTTGCAAATTTGATATTGATTTTACATAATAGTCAAAAAGTTTTTCCCAAAAAAATCACTCTATCAATTTACTCCATAAACGATTTGCTTCACATGTTTCAAACCTTTGAGTTTCTTCTTCTGTTGAACATACGATAAGATATTTTGAAAAGTGTTGGAATCCGGTAACTATTGACCTCCATAGCATTTGTTTCTCCTATGGAAGTCAATGGTTACAGGTTTACAGCTTTCTTCAAAAAAAAAAATCTTGTTTTCAACAGAAATAAGGAATTCATAGAGGTTTGGAACCTTGGAGTAAATTTCCATTTTTTTCAGTGAACTATAATTTTAATATTGAGTGATTTACATTTCAGACACATTATTTTTGTTGTTTTTCTTTTCGTCTATAATAAAAGTGATTTTAAACAAAACCAAAGGACAACATTTCACACAGTTTATGACCGTGAATTTGAGACTAGTTAAACTAGCCAACAATTAAAGTGAATCAAAACAGTTTTTTTAATTGTTCTAAGACAAAAATCTGTGTTTTTAAATAGTTTTAGGACAACTTTAGGGAAAGGTTTTGATCCACTTCAAATGTTGACTTGTTGATATCATATGTAATGTGGAGTTAAACTGCTTCATTTTTTTTACAGGCCTATGAACTCCATCTCGTCACAGCACTGTCGACCCATCTCAACCCAGAGCATCACCAGCACTGATTCTGCAGACAGTGAGGAGAACTATGTGGCAATGGTGAGGAAATGACATCAGCTTTAGTCGCTGAGCCTAACCAGATAACTTTAAGATTGGATTTCTGTGCATATAACATTCTGCACAATGTTTCAGGCAGCTATTTTATTTATTTTTTTAAATGTAGCAAAACCCAGTCTCTACCTCCCCAGCGATGAGTGGTACCAGCAGTCCTGCACCGAGGAATTGTGGTAATGTGGACTATCTGGCTCTGGACTTTCAGCCTGGTTCTCCTGGTCCACACAGAAAGGTATGTTTATTAGTTAAAAGGTCTTTCAATCAAAAACACTTTATCAATCCTTTAATGACAACGCCAAGACAAAAAAGATATATAGAAAATTGCTCAGTGTTCAATATATCTGAAACGTGGCACTTTTAGTGGTTTGTTTCTATCACTTTTGTCACAGAAAAAACAAGAATTAATTATTCACAACTTAATGTTTTTCACCCCATAGACTTTCATGAATAAAATGGTGCCATATTGAAAACATGCATTTCAATTGGGTGTAAGCAGATGGACTTTTAATTTTTCAGTAACCTGGGTCAAATGCTTCCGGTGTACTGTATGTCATTACAAAATCAGCACGTCTGTTTTCTTTAAAAATCAATTATCTTCACTGCCTGATTGATATACAATATAAAGTGGGTTTCTGAATGTACAAAAAAACACTTTAAAATATGAACATTTATTTGACCCCATTATTTTCAATGGAGTTTCTACACTAGCCTGCTGATCCTAACAGCGCTGCTTTTCATCTCATTTTACACTTAAACAGCAAATTGAATACTTATGTCTATTTCACTGATTATATTTTAATTACATTACAACATCGATGCTGTAAAAGGATTCATAAAAAAAAATAATAATAAATTTTAACCGTTCACCACAAGTTTATTGGTAGGGGGAGAAACACTAGCTGTACATATACCCTAAGTTTCAAGCTTGATGAACTCTGACCTGTTAATTCACTTCATGTAAATACATGAGAGCAATAGAGATTAAAAAAGTGACATCTCTGTTAAAGAAAATCTTGCTTGTTGTATCAATATTGTATTAATCGTCTTGCTGTATTCCACCTCTTTTCGCAGAACCATCCAACAGAATTTCATATGTGGACACTGGAATATTTTCTCAGTATTGCAAGTTTATACAGCCTATGAACTTACAATCATGAAAAATAGAAATGCAATTCAGATGACAAATAGAGTTAGAGTTAGATAAACTCATAAGGAGTAAACTCGGAAATCCCAGTCTGATCTCATGAAGAAATGTAACTATGTTTTATGAGTTTAGTAGCTAATTCGTATGAGTTTAGTCGTACGAAAATGTAAGACTTTTTAAAAGGAGGCGAATGAGATCATACATAATTTATATGAATGAAGCTGCGGTAACGCTGCACTTTTCTCCCCATAGACTTCCATTCATACACAAGTGAATGGATCAGACTGGAAACGTAAGGTCTTGCGGCAAGTTTCGCATTTCGCTGCATTGGAAAGTTCAAGCTTGGTGAACTCTGACCTGCGAAATCGCATCACATGATTGTGTGACACCAATGGAGGATCAAAACATGACTTCTCTGGAAAGAAATTAAAACAATTGACCAATTGCTCACATAGTCTACATTTTATATATCCAAGCTAACTGCGTACTTATTGCAAAACTTTATCCAAAAAAGTATATATATATATATTTATATATATATACTTTTTAAGTAAACGTATATATATATACGTTTACTTAAAAAGCATAGTTTTTCCTCAGCACTTCAAAAGAAACCTCAAGAACTTCACATCAGGCAGTTGTTATGGATTTCTAAAAATGTTGCACAAAAAATTCCCCCATTTCAGCCAGACTCTGCTCCAAATCGTTCATCTTCGGATGCAGGGCAGTGAACAGGGTGTAAAAATGCTGTGCACTTTACCAGCTAAAATCATGTCACATGCTCTTACATCGAACCTGCGTGCAACACTGAGATGACATCACATTTGCTGCACGCATCCAAGCGTACTAACGATCGCGTCGAGTATAAACAGGCTTTAGGTAAGAGTCAAAACAAACGTAAGGGGCGAGTAAATATTCATGTTTGGATGAACTATCCCTTTAATATGTTTATGAGGAAACTTATCTTTGAGTTAGAGGCCAATTTTTATAGACCAGTTCGAGGGATGTAAACAATAACAATAGTCGTAATGTATTTCCTATTTTAGATCTTTAATTACCAAAGCTTCTGAGAATCCAGAAAGTTCCACATGTTGATACTGACAGCCATGACAGCCATGTTAACATTAGTTATGACTGAATCACCTCTTGCTAGTTCCGAACAAACAGGAACTGTTCATGTACCAATGATATTGCCATTTTAAAACAATCTGTCATAATCCTAAAATGTAGAATTAAAAAAAAAAGTTTTGAAATGTAAGTCAGAATTGTATTTGCGAAATCTATACCCTTTATTTTCTCTCTTACAGCCGTCCACCTCTTCAGTCACCTCAGATGAAAAAGTGGACTATGTGCAAGTGGACAAAGAGAAGACGCAGGCCCTCCAGAACACCATGCAGGAGTGGACAGATGTGCGACAGTCAAGCGAACCGGCTAAAGGCATCAAGTCCTGATGACGTTCAACTGTCTACATTAAATGTGTTCCTTACTGTCAGTCCAAATGCTCTTATACAGTTACACGCTGATAGAAACTGGGACAAAATAGCGAATGATGCAGCAACTAAAGCCATGAATCCAACTAACTCCTTTAAAGGACTAAAATCCCTCAGCCTCCTGGACTGTGATGCTATGCATGTTAGAGACATGTTTAACTTCAAAGTTCAGTGCGACAAAATTTTAGCTACTTGCTCTTTCTGAGAGTGAGCGACTTCTTCTGTGGTATGTTGAAAATCATAATCTAGTTAATAGTAATGTGTGCAATTTTTTTATGTGAAATACTTTCTTCAGCTTAAAAGTCAAAGAGAACCAAGTAAGCCATTTGATCCTCCCTGAAAACTGTAAACACTGTGACTGTTTGAAAACATTGCTCTGTTTGTTTGAGCATCCCGGCTAGCCTGGCATGGCAACACAGCTCAGCCAATGGCATGAGTTTGGGGGGGACTATTTAACCAATGACGTACAAGAAGAGCATTCAGGAAACCTGTTTGACACTCAGTACTGTTACAAATCTATTTGGTGGCACTAGTTAGGCAGATATGCCACTTTAACAGTGTTATAAGGGCAGAATAGCACATCATGCAAATGCTTTTCTGAAGTAACTATGGTCTGCCTACCAACTTGAATCGCAATTTATTAGGAGAGATGGTCGTTTTTCAATAACAACTAAGCAATGCAGGAATGCTTGTAAAAAAAATTCTTATAGGTGTTGAGTTAATAACTTCAGACATTGGGTCACAATCATTAAACATGCATACGTACAGATTTTTGCAAAACGTGCACAGCAGTGAGAAAAAATCTAATTCATTCATTGGAAGATTATCATCAACACTAACATAGTGCATTGCGCCAAAGTCCCTTTAAGGCAGGGATGTCAAACTCAATTACTGGAGGGCCACAGGCCTACACAGTTTAGTTCTAACCCTGCTTCAATACAATTACTAGTAGGTTTCAAATAAGCCTGACCAGGTGTGTTTAATTAGGGTTGGAACTAAACTGTGCAGGTCTGCGGCCCTCCAGGAATTGAGCTTAACATCCTTGCTTTAAGGCAAGTCATTTCACTCGGCGGCCATCTTTGAAACACCTCTCGGGCAGTATGCTCGGGCGTTCTGTTTGAATGGGGAATCATCAAATTCTCCATGATTGCTTGCCAAGCTTACGATTAAATTTAATTTTTGGAGTCACTAATCAAGTTAAAACAACAACTGAGTCTTTAGTTTAATTTCTGAACATTTAAGTCACACAAAATCTGCAGAAACTCATGTCTGGACTGAGCCTCTCACCTGGAGAACCTGAAGAAGTCTATAGCGGTCCATGATTGGTCTCTTTACTAGAAGGTCAGGCTTCATATGCCATAATGACTGTTACACTTTTCTCCATTCAAAACTATAGGAGTGACACATCTTGTGCATTCTATAGTCTACGCTCAACTTCAGTACGAATGAATTGAAAGCGCTCATTCCACTACACTCACAAAGTGCCAGTGGAAACACAATGTAAAGTCAGAGGTCGTCTTTACAGAGAGCGCAGATGTTTGCTGAGAGTGACAAACGGCTGTTCAATCGCTTTAGGTTTCCCTATTCCTTACTGATTTATGCAACTTTTTTCTTGCTTTAATCTCTGCTAGCAAAACCTCACATTAATTATTGTTTAAGTTTTTTTCTTTCTCTAGAGCAGTGGTTTTAAACTCGGTCCAGGAGGTCCAGTGTCCTGCAGATTTTAGCTCCAACTTGTTTTGTCCAACAGTTTTGCTTCAAGCCTGACCAAACATAGCTGATCTATCTAATTAAGGTGTTCATACACAATTATTTCAATTAGCTGTATTTGATAGGGTTAAAGCAAAACTGTGCAGAGCCGTGACCCTCCAGGAATTGAGTTTGAGCCCTTTGCTTATGTGGAGCTGGTTACTGCGTGTTCTATTTAAATGACTAATCTCGCGCACACAGCCACTTATTTAAAACACTGCAAATTCACTATTTTAAGAACAAGCTTATGTATATACACAATAACAAGTGATTAGTTGATTAAAAAAAATAATAAACAAGGCCTTAACACAATTAAGTAAATAAACTATGTACATAGTTATGAAAATTAAGTGAACTTAATAGTTCTAAGTTGGAACAGAAATACTTAATATTTAAGGCAATGGCCTTACTCATTTTTTAAAGTATTTTCACAGTATGTATATATATTTTGTGAATTAGATGGAAAGTTTTCATGAGAAGTTCAAATGTGCACATCAACACAAAAACGTATGCATTTATTAGTGAATGAGGCCCAGTGTCCTAACATAGCATAACATTTCTTCATAATTTTTCCCTCTATTGCTTTGCTAAAATTGGAAAATGACCATGGCTGCACCTGAAATCGCATACTATCATACTATATAGTACATTAAGAACAGTATGACAGCCAAGTGGTATGTTCAAACTCAGAGTATTCGAAAAACAGTATATGATGACCTATCTCCAGCAAGATTCTGAAGTACACATCTGATGGACGCTTCGCTATACCATAATGCACCATGAGAGAATACTATATAGAACGTACTTTTCTAAAGGTCGTGTAGTAGGGCTGGGCTGATACGATATTGTTGTGAATAAAGATAAAATTCATGTCAATAACAATAATAAGCTCTGGACTTTTTATATATACTCTATATTGATCTAAGAGCCAATCCCACAGCAGAAATGTCCAACAATAGGACTCTAAAAGTGTGTTGATATTAGAGATGTACTTAATTTTTTGCCCACCGAAATTACGTTACGCCATTTAATTGACCCTCTAATTTTTGTGGCTTCAGACATTGTTAGGATACTCTTTTAAATATGAAAGCATTAAATATCAAAATATATACAGTTATCGTTCAGTATTTAAAATAATTATCGAGATTGCATTTTTTGCCATATCGCCCAGCCCTATCGTGTAGTAAATTCAAATGTAGTACCTACTAGAGTAGTAGGTGATTTTGGACGCAGCCCCTCTCTCTTAAACCAAACTCAGATTAATAATATGTGTGCATCATGCAATGTAAATGCAAAGCTAACAAGCAGCAAGAAAAGTTTGACTTCATATGGTCTCTAGAAAGATAGTTCACTCAAAAATGAAAATTCTGTCACCTCAAACTTGTCTAGCACTTTAAGCAGGTGGTTTTTATACATACTTATTTAAAATAAAAATAAAAAATTAATACCATAACACCTTAAAGGGACAGTTCACCCAGAAATGAATATTCAGCCATTCATTTTCTTACCCTTGACTTGTTCTAGCCTGTATGAGACTTACTCTTCTGCTGAACACTTAAGATGCAATATTTTGAAATTGATAGGAGAAAATCAATCCTATGGACATCAGAGATTATCATCGACTGTTTGGTTACTACGATTCTCATTTTGTATTAAGCAGAAGAAAGAAAATGAGATTATACAGGTTTAATTCATTCTGGTGAACTATTTCACCTGGCAAAAATCTGAAAAGAAATATGATAACATTTAAAAATGAAAAACAAAAATTAAGGTCTATCGGCCATTGGTGATGACTTCGTCTATCGATCCAACCCTAATCTGATCTCAACATTAGTGTTTAGTTTTACAGAACGAAAAGTTAAAGTCACAGCATTTAGATTTGTAAACATGCAAAAAAAAAAATTATAATAATTCCAAGCTAATACTTTTTTTTCATATTGAGTGAACTATTTATCAAATCAGACTGGTTACAGATCCACCTAAACGTGTGCTGAGAGATCATTGAAGGTGATTTTTATGTGCATATTGTCAGTAAAGCTGGTTCTAATTCTCCAGCATGTGCTTTCAGTTTCAATAGAGTTTACTACACAGTGCCATTGTGCACTGACAAGATACGCAAAAACACATTCAAAACAGAATTGGAAAATAGATTTGAAGATAATTTTTCTGTGATGATGACAGCTGTTTGTGTAGCTTTTTGGTGAACCAAGACTGCGCAGTAAATGCTGCTATATCTGAAAGCAATTGAAAAAAAACACCCATAATTTTTTTTTTTTACTTGAAACTCATAACTCAGTCAAGGGATTAAAATAAATCCATTCTCTAGTCGTGTGTTTATAGATCACGATGAATCCATAAAAGTAGTTAACTATTCTGTTTATAATGGGGGTTTCCTGGGTTTCTTTTTCATGGGTATTTGCAGTTTTGTGCAAGAGTGCGCTCTGGTCTTCAGAGTAAATCTACTACTGAATACACAACCATGCTTTCCTGGCAAGATGTGCAGTTTTGCTCAGTTTACTTAAATGCTCCTAACCTAAATTATGGACTTTGTAATATGGCAGAACATATTAATCAAAAACATATGTCTCCCTTAAGCTTGACAGATATTCACTTTAAACCATTCAATGCCTTTACTTTGCATGCAGTCTGAATAGGGATAATGTGACGATCTTACCCTAAAATGCAAATGGCTTCCCTGGCTGTTAATACAGAACAGGTAACAGCAAACCTACATATACAAAATGAACAATAACCGCTCTATTCATAAACGAATAAACAAGTACTGTTCGTTAACGCTTCAAGCTAATGTGTTTGTCAGAGGGACTGTATGGAGATTCAGCATTTTAAATTTATAATTAATACATTTCAATTATTTTACAAAACAAAAATAAAACTGTTTTTAGTTCTAGTCAAATTCTTGTGGAAAAGAAAATAAAAAGCTTAAAGGGATAGTTCACCTAAAAATGAAAACACTCACCCTTAAGTGTATTCCAATCTGTTGAGCACAGAAGAAGATTTTCTAAAAATGATGGAAACTGGTAGCCATTAATTCCATAGTAGAACATTTTTTAATTATCTTTAAATTATTTTCTTTTGTGTTCAACAGAAGAAAGAAACTCTTGGAACAAGGTGAGGGCTAGTAAATAATTTAAATTTTGGGGGAACTATGACATTAAGGGGCGTTCACGTGCCACATCGAAAGCGTATGTCAGTCATGCATATTTTTTATTTTTATTTTTTGTATTTTTTATTATTAACTACTGGTCTAAAATGCTTAGTACAAGTACCAAGTAAACTGGGAGAATTTTAACGATGTCGAATTCTGTATGTGAAACTTTTTAGAGAACTGTTGTTATGTAAATGCGCTGACAGGAGCATGCTGTTTATAATAAAGGTCACAGGAATTAACCCCTTCAGACCCTGCGTCCATTACAATGGACATCACATGACATACCATTTTTCTGAAATTTGGAACATAATTCAGGTCTGAAGGGGTTAAAACAGAAGGGGCACATAAATCCTTATATTTCAATCTGTGTTTTCTCAAGCTTTAAGGATTTTTAAAAAGCCATATTTATTTCATGATAGGCCATTATAAATGTTCGCTCAAAAGGACTGTAGGATTTGTCATTTCATTCAGTATTTTAAGGTGGGCTGGGACCTCCGAATACTCCATTTCTAGCAGTTTGGGAGCTTTTTTGCCTTTGAACTCCACATCATTTCATATTCCAAAACCATTTTGTATTAAGTTAGCCTAACCTTTACATACAAGGTCGTGAGCGGTCTGGACTTGTAAAATAGACCTTGCGTATAGATTGTCTGTTAGATCTGAATGTGTTGAGTGGATTATTTAAAAATGTGCTTTTTAAGACTGCCATTATTTTACGATGTGAAACTGTGGGACATTTATCAGCACTGGTGTTGGTTCATAGATAAAGTGGACCAAACGGGCTGAAATTGGTTTCCTAATGTCTTTTTTCTATTCTGAAAATATGTAATGTATTGTAATGGCAGAGTACTAGTAGATGAATATAATACTTGTGTGTGAGCTGTAGTAGAACTTATGCTGTAGTTTGTTGAGAGGCAGAAACGAGGAGGTAAAAAAAAACTACTTGGACAAATGTCATTAATTGAGTGGATTTTCCTGTAAAGTATTTCTGTTCAACTCTTGGTCGCTTTGTGAATTAATTTATTAATTTATTACGTGTTTTGCAGGTGGACGAACGATGTACAAAGAATGAACTTGTGGCTCTACTAACATTAATTTATGCTCTGTGTGCTGATTTTGTGAAGCAATATGCAAAGCAAAGCCAGTAAAATGGTCAAATGTGGTACATTTGAGATGTCTGTCCTTTGTGATGTTTGTGATATTATACTTGCATAAAAATAAATTCAACTGCTAACAAAACAAAATAAACATTTGAATGAAACTTTTCACTACTTACGCTAATATCACAGCTCGTCATTGGAATGATCAAATTACTGGATGTATTTAAATGATCACATAACTGAATGTACGATCCTGGAAACCATTGGTGGAGAGAGTTATAATAAGTAATATTCAGGTAAAAGTACCATTTTAAAAAAAAGCAGTGCAAGTAGAGTATAATTATCTGTTCTGAAAGTATAACTGAAATGTAGCCATTCTAAAGGCAGTGAAGAGTACACAGTAAACATTATTCCACCTTATTACCCTGAAATCTGTGTCAAGGGTCTAAAATAAAACTGCCGATCACTTAGGTTAGTGTAACGGATGCCAGCTAGCCAAGCGCTATGCAGGTAAACCTCACTTCTCCTTTAAAGGTGCTCTGTTAGAGTAACCGACTCTCATGGAAAGAATCACCGGTTTAATCCCAGCTCAGTGTGGGTTGGGTTCAGTAGGACTGGTTGGTTACACGTTGGGGCTCTTCCAGAATGAAAATGATGTTTAGGGTGGTGAGTGCAACAGAGGCCAGCTAACAAAATGCTATGCAGATAAACCTCACTCTGACCTCTAAAGGTGCTCTAGCTATAGATGCTAGAGCCCATGGTCTTTAGCCTTCTTTTTGGAGCAACCGACTCCCGTGCAAAGAATTGCCCAGATTCAACCCCAGCTCAGCAAGGGTTAGGTGCAGTAGGACCAGTGGGTTACACATGAAGACTCGTTCGGGATGGGAGTGAGATTTAGAGGACTGAGTGTAATGGAGACCACCGAGCGAAGCGCTATGCAGGTATGTCTCACTCCATTGACCTCTAAAGGTGCTCTAGCGACAGACGCTAGAGCCCATGGTCTTTAGCCTTATTTATGGAGCAGCCGACTCCCGTGCAAAGAATTGCCGGTTCAGTCCCAGCTCAGCAAGGGTTAGGTGCAGTACATTGGGTGGGTTACACATGGGGACTCGTCCATGGTGGGAGTAAGATTCAGGCGGCTAAGTGGAACATAGGCTAGTCGAATGCTATGCTGGTAAACCTCACTCCTCTGAATTCTACATATGCTCTAGCAACAGATGCTAGAGGCCATGGTCTTTAGCCTCCTTATTAGAGGAACCAACCAACCCCCATGCAAAGAATTGCAGGTGAAATCCCAGCTCAGTACTGGTTGGGTGCAGTAGGACCGGTGGGTTACATGTGGGGGCTCATCCAGGATGGGAGTGAGGTTTTGGGTGGTGAGTGTAACAGAGGCCAGCTAGCAAAGTTCTATGGAGGTAAACCTCAGTTCTCTGCCATCTAAAGGTGTTCTAGCAGCAAACGCTAGAGGCCATGGTCTTTAGTCTCCTTGATAGAGGAACCTACTCCCATGCAAAGAGTCGCCAGTTCAATTCCAGCTCAGCGCAAGTAGTGTACAGTAGGACCAGTTGATTACATTATGGATTTGAGCCCTGACTGACAAGCTATGAGTGTCCAGTAGATTTTGCAGCACTGATAGAATACATGCACATTTCCCTGTTTTGAAAAAGTAAATATGTAGTGCATTTAGTTAATCTTTATGGCCATTTTGGTGATTTCAGTCACAAAAGTGGAAAGCTGAATTTATTTGCACACGTTTTTCTATGCATATTTATTGGTTTGGTTTTGCAGGTTATGACACACTCTTAAGAGCCCCAATCATACAACCGGAGCAATGCGATACAAGTGTTTTTTATTTTATTTTATTTTTTGCTATTTTCGGCCTGGTGCAGGTATCATTGTCACAGTTTGTGCCACAATGTTTAATAATCAAACGTATTTGCACCACTTTGTGCACACATGGACATGCTGGTCTGAAAAGATGGTGTGTCAACAAAGTTTAGTTCACAGTTAAATCAGACACACCTGGGCTAATTAATCAAGCTTGTGGGCTTTCTAGAAATATCCTTGCAGTTGAGTTGAAGTTGGAGCTAAAATTTGCAGGACATTGGCCCCCAGGACCGAGTTTAGGCACCGCTGAACTAGACGCTAGTCTAAAATCAATTGTGCAGGGTTTTTTTTTTTTTTTTTGCCTACATTACCATGTCTTCTTTAAGAAGGCTTTGGTGGAGTCCGGTTCTGTTGTAGTCATTTTATTCATGACAATTTACATTTGTTTAATGTTACTATTAAAAGTAGTATTTATTATATGCATATTTATATATCAACCGTTTTTCTGCTAACAAAAGCTGCCATGTAAATAGCAAATGCACCAGGGCGCACAGCAAATGACTCGGTAACACTTTATAATACCTACACACTATAAATCATTTATTAAGCATTAGCAAATAGTGAACTAATTATCTGTTAAGCATTAACTCTACATTAATATGCGTTAGTAAGCAGTTTATAACTGCAGCTACAAATGCTCTATTCTTGACTTATAAGCACCTATTTAATGTATTTTCATACTTAGTTAATGATTTATTTTTCATTACTAAATTAAGTATCGAATTATTAACAAACCGTTTGTATTTAGTTAGGGTAGTTGACGGTTTTTAGTATCATTTAGAATGAGTTAGTAAATGATTAATAAACTATTGAAATCAAAGTTATATGTCTAATTATTCAGGCATATAGTAATGGTTACTATATATGTTAATAAATGCTTTATTAACTCAACATTATGCAGTTTTGTGACCTAATCTAAAGTTTATGCTTTATAAATCCCTTATAAATGACAAATAAAGGCTCAGTTAAATTCTAAACAGGAAAAATGACATTATCAATTCCTATTCATTTAAAGATACACAAATGAAACTGTACTTCAAATGAAAAATCTTTGCAAGCTTATCTAAAATAAAATCAATATAGAGTTTAAACATTGAATCTTATTTTATTGTTTAATTATTATATTGTTGTTGTTTTATCCAGTTGGATGTCGTATTTTGACACTCCTGTTATTTGGCAATGTTTAAACTTTACAGTAATTTTACATTTTAGAAAGATTGCACAGATTATCGTTTATTTGATTCTGAGCCTTTAATTGTCATTTATAAGGGATATAAGCATGAGTAGTCCTCACTTTAAATTAGGTCACAAAACTGCATGAAGTTGAGTTCATAAAGCATTTATCATCAGACAGAGTAACCATTACTATATGCCTGAATAATAAGACATATAAATGTTGATTTCAATAGTTTCTTAATCATTTACTAACTCATTCTGAATGATCCTAAAAACCCTCAACTACTCCATAATACAGTTTGTAAATAATTTGATACTTAATTTAGTAATGAAAAATAAATCATTAAGTACGAAAATACAATCATTAAACACATTATATAGGTGCTTATAAGTCAAGAATAGAGCATTTGTAGCTGCAGTTATAAACTTCTTAGTAATGTTTATTAATGTAGAGTTAATGCTTAACAAATAATGAATTCACTATTTGCTAATGCTTAATAAATGATTTATAGTGTATAGTTATTATAAAGTGTTACCAATGACTCTTAAAGGGAATGGGAGAGTCTTAGTGGAATGGGACTCTTAGTGCTTTTGTGCCATCAGATTTAGATTTTGCACTAAGATTGTTAAAAAAAAAGAGCCCCAAATGTTCCTTAGATTATATGCTTTCATTCACTAATTGGTAGGCCCAAACAGAATCTGCGCGCACAGAATTCCGCAGATTTCTGCAGATTTTTAGCCTATCATTAATTCTGTTTATTTACTTGAGCAAATGTTTCAATTTGAATTCAATCAGTTTTTATTCAGTAATTTATTACTTTTTATTTCATATATTAAGGTTTTAGTTATGATACTCTGCTGGATACTCCCAAAATAATTCAGCAGAAATCCACAGATTTTTACTAAAATTCTCTGCAGAAATAGCAAAAAACATCAGCAGATTCCGTCTAGCCCTGCTAATTGGGCAAGAACTAGCAGCTATTCTTACATCCAGTTTGGTTTTCTTTTATGTTAGCATGTCTTATTATCAGCCATTATTATGCTTAAAGACTGTGTTTAATCACACGTTCAAATAAAAAATATATATTATATTAATTATATTATTTATCATAAATCATATCAAAGTAATTTATGATTAACTTGAGCAAATTGTGGAAGACAAATATTATTAATCTATAGCCGAATGTATGTTCTAAAGTATTATAATATTTATAATTATAACTTTAATTGTAATAAAATGTAAATATGCCAAAACTATTGCCACTGTACTTTAGTTAACTAACATTAAAGGGTAATAACAATCAAAAAAAAAATATAACTGTAATAGCAGTAATGATGAGGGTAGTCATAATAATAATAATAATGATAATAATAACAACAACAACAACTATAACTACTACAGAACATTTTGTTATGGAATAATAACACAAATGTTCGACCATGTATAATGAAATATAAATTGTTACAGAAATAGTTGTATAATTAATAATAATAAACAAATAATAAACAAATAATAATAATAATAATAATAATACTGTACAATTAATATTAATACAACAATATTAATATTTTTTTAATAATTGCGTAATTGTTCCTCCATGTTTTAAACATTCAAATTTCTTAAACATTTTTTTGTTAAATTCTAAAGAAAAGAAAAGCATTATGTTAGATTAAATAAGTAGTGATTCTAACTACAAAACATTTTAAAAAGCCCCACAAGAACGCAATATTTTACTACAGTAAGCTTTTAGATAATGTAATGTGTGTTATTGTACTACTTTAAAGTGTTAAGCTTGGTATTTTCCAGTGCTCTCTGTTAGAATGTAGGCTGTGCTTTAGTGCTGCTGAGTAACAGGCTGATGTGAGTTATTTGTCCAGATCATGACAGTGCAGATAAAGAGCCACTCCCTGAGTCCCCTGCAGTCGGGACATCCAGCAAACACACACTGACCTCTTCTGGACAACACTGGCAACACACACAGATTCCTGACATTGTCATACTATTGTCCAGGGCTATTCAATTAGTTTGTCATGGGGGCCAGTTCATGAAAAGCATCCCAAATGAGGGGCTGGAGAGATATAACTTGCAAAATGAGTG